TGATGAATATATCCACCTAAAGGAAAATTCTCTAGGAAAAACTATGAGGTAAAAAAATTTTAATACCAACCTATTGAATAAATTGATATTCGAAAAACCTAGACTAATATCCTAATAGAATAAGCCTTAAGATATTTTATAGAGTATGATTTTTTATGCAATCCATCCAACCAAAGATACAACCGGTATGAGATTAAATGGAAGTTTTTTATATTTAATGATAAAAGGCTAAGTGAATGAGTCAATATAGACAGAAGTAATTAACAGCTATATAAGCAAAATAAATAAGAAAATATATGTAAAAAAGAGGATGGGAGTAAACTTAACATAAATAAGGACAAAATATAATAAATGAGGATAAAGGCATATGGTATGTAGAAACGAGTATAATGGATAAATAGTGTAAAATAGGATTTACCTCAAAATAGGTGGTATCCTCGGGATCATCTGGCTTAGGAATAAATGGCATATCCCTTTCATATAGTCTATCCCAATCAAGATTTAGTTGAGACAAAAAAGGTTCGGAACGAACATGTTTTATGAATTCGAGTCGCCGAGAGGGCTGACGTGATAGAAGGCTAGAGATGAATTGCTTTGCACGCAGGCTCATGAGGACTTCTACGTCTGTTGTTAATGAGGATATGAGGCTTTCATATGAACGTAGCATCTGTTTCTTTTTAGAAAGTGTTAGTCCCTCAGGAGTTTCACTTAATAAGCGAGATCGATCATGGTCAGGTGATACTATTGCATCAATCATATTATCATAATTGCAAATGGATTTCAAATGTCCTACCGAAGACCCCTGACAGTCTGACTCTGTTACCAGGGTTGGTGGAGAGCTTTTCAGGAGCAAATTCGTGTCTGTTCGGGAATGATAATGGCTACCTTCTGTCCGAGGAGTAGACCCAGCTGCAAATAAAGGCTCACGCATTTTCAATGAAGCTTCAACTGAAGGTCTATAAGAGAGGGATACACCGTCTGAGGATTGGCACAGGACAAGAGAATTGGAAAGATTTAGCGCTTCGAGAGATTGAGAGAGTGAGAATAGTGGCTCCTGTCGGGACGGAGTCTTATCGAGCCTAGTTGAATGGCAGGTTGAAAGAGAGGTAAAAACTGATTGGGAATGAGGGAAAGGAGAATGGAAAGAAACAGACGAGTCTGGATCAGGTGGTATCAGACCTTCATTGACGGTTTGAAATGAAGCCGATAGAAGCAAGTCTTCACTTGTTACGATAGTAGAGTTCCTGACCTCCGAAGAATTCGTCTCAGGCTCAAGGTTAATAGAGTCAGGCTCATCGAGTAGAGGAGGCCAAGGGATTTCTAAGCACAAAGTATTAGAATGAGGAATAGCATTTAGGCCAAACATCAAAGCATATCAAAGGTCATATTAGAAAAAAGACCCGATTAATACAAAATTATGATTTAGAATGTGCTGAATTGGACAAAAATAATAAGTACCAAATATTAAAGAATATCTGATGAAAAGTTTTCCACATTAAAGATATTGGAAATAATCGTAATGTGCATTATGAGAGAAAAAAATGAAGCCAGTTACAGTACAAATGAAAACCTTCTGAACCAAATTCATATAGAAAATGATAAGGAATTTCATTTATCACAGGTCGCTCAAGGTAATGAAGGACAATTATATGAGTAGGCCTTACGATGCCATTTAGCCTTCACCGAGAGTGGACTGATATTTCGACTTTCTCTGATTATCATTAGCACCTCCAAAATGGATAATGCAGCAGTTATTTTCGAGACATTACGGCAACGCCACAAGCGTCAATGAGTTATAGGACATATGTGATACCTTAGGCAAGCCAGATATCTCTCATAATACATTTTCACACTATTAGCCATTACAGTAAGCTACTCTACGTTAGGTATGAAAACCAAGATGGTGTAGCCAGCTGTTTAGTCGCAGTCTAATTTAGCCTCATAGTTCTGGTTCGACCTTGTTTTCGCAACTTGGTGGCAGCACCAGGGAGACCTTGTGGAACGTACATAGTCCTGCATCCTCTGCAATAGTATTCGTGATTTCTAGCCTCGGACTCGTGACTTGGTATCGGCATCGTAGTCGACATCGTCAGTGTCAGGCACTATCGCTAGCATAGAGTTATAACTTATCAGTGGCAAGTGAAAGAGACTGCCTTAATGAGTCACTTTGAAACTTTGTGCTGACGATGGCACCTTTCACTGATGATGCAGGGGAAACGTTTGGGGAATGTACTAAGTCACTGGTTCGAAGCTGGAAATCGCAAAAACTATTGCAGAGGACACATGACTTAGTATGTTCCATAAGGCTTTCCTGACGCTGCAACCAAATTGCAAAAACAAGAGCTAACCCACACTACGCTTATTGTATTCGTAATTAATCGATGTTCGAAAATGTCCTCAGAACCACTGGAACCTGTGGCAGTGTGGCGCAGAGGTAGTATCTTAAAAGCAAACGCTGGACTACATGATTTTGATGCCCTATGTGAGTTTTTATGAGGCAAAAACGAAGTCTAAAGTGCGATTCATTTTAAATGAAAATATATTTTGAGTACTAAAGCCAAAATAAATTAAATTGCTTCGTGTGAAAAAATTCACTACAGACTCTAATCACCTAGATAACTAGGGTAACTAAAGTAGTATTGGAGGTCTACTGATAATGTCGAAAACTTAATGATTAAGATTACGTACTAGATGATTTGTTTAGACATAAACTTTTGGCATAATGAATCCAAGAACACGGTCAAACAGTATTACAGGTCCATTAAAGTACTATATATGATATAATCCAGAGAAAAGCTAGATAACTAACACGAAGGGCCTACGACTGGTATTTCTTCAAAATATCTAGAGGCAGATTGCATTAAGAATATACTCATACCTGGTTTTATATCTTAAAAAGCTGTCAAGGGTGAGCATAGAGCTA